CTCTGAAGTCTCTCAGCCCCACTCACCTCACAGAGTGTTTGTTGTGGGGGAGGAAGGGAAAGGAGAATGTTAGCCGCTTTGAGACTCCCTAGGGTGGTGATAAAGTGGGATATCAAATCCAAACTCTTCTTCTTCATCATGCTTTTTAAGTGTGGAGTTTCTGTACATTCTTTCAAAAACTCCACAGGAAACGCTAGACCAATAATTGGAGTGCCAGTAAAACTGAAACAGAACAATTAAAGGCAGTACAGACCATCCCTACCCACGAGCCTTGTTCCACTTCCCTCTTCCATGTGGGTGGTGATAAAGTTCTCTGCATGAGGCGTGGCACTCACCCACTGAAGACGGAAAACAGAAGGAATTATAATGATAGTTAAACTAGGAAATTCAACCCCATGAACAGCATTGGTGGCCATCAACCTGGATGGCTTTAAAAGAAGATTAGATGGCTAATAGGCATAATCACTATGAGCTGCATCCATTGGAGGCCATGTGGATTCATAGAATCAAAGAACTGTAGAGTTGGAAGGGACCCTGAAGACATCTAGCCCAGCTCTCTGAAAAGCAGGAATATGCAGCTGTCCCATAAGGGGATCGAACCTGCAACTCACCAGCTCCATGCTAGAACCAGCTGAGCTATCCAAGTGGTCAGCAATCATGAGAGAGTTAAGTGCTGTTGAGCTCAGATCTTGTTTGCAGCTTTCCCATTGAGGCATCTGGAGGCTACAGTCCATGTGCTTCTGGATATTCTGGCTACGGAGTGGGGTCTTATGGAGGGTACCTTGGTGGGAGCTACAAAAGCATTTGCCAGCCAAAACAGGTTCAGTATCTGCGGTCTCTTTGTTAAGCCCGGAAAGACTAGACCCAGCTATGTTTTGACAATCATGATATGAACACCTGATGGAGCTTACGGACCTGTCCTTCAGAAATGCTGAGCACCTGAGCTTCTGACTGAAGACTGTCAAAGCTGAGGGTCCTCAACACCAGTGAAGACCTGATGGATCTATGATTTACTCTCTGTCAAGTTTAGCCAACACGGTGGACTACAGCTCCCATCACCCCTGAGCACTGACCCTGCTGGCTTGGACTGATGGGAGCTGTAATCCAACAATATTTGGAGGGGAGGAAGAATGACCTTGGCCCTTCATATCCTATGGAGTGGGGTCTTACAGATGGTACCTTGGTGGGAGCTACAAAAGCATTTGCCAGTCAAAACAAAAACCTGGTTGGCTTCTGTGATATGCTGGACTAGGTGGGCCACTGGTTTGATCCAGCCGACTCTTCTTAAATTTATTTGCTGTGTACTACCTCTACTGTTGGAAGCAGTATCTCTCTGAATAACAATTTCTGGGGAATATGGAAAGAAAGATTTGCTGCTGCGTTCAGGTCCTACTTGTGGGCTCTGCATTGGCATCTGAGTGGCCACTGTGAAAACAGGAAATTGGACTGGAAAGGCCATTGACCTGATGCAGCGACAGAGCATTTCCTGTGTTCCTATTATAGCTAAATTCAACTGTCACTCTCAGAAGCAGTGGCCAATCAGAGTTGGCAGTACTGGACTGGATGGACCAATCACCAGTCCAAGGCAGCTTCTATATTCTTGCTTCAAGAGCTCACAGCTTAGGAGTAGAACCCTTTTTTTGCATGTAGGTGATCTCTGGTCCAACCCCTGGGATCTCTGGTTCAAAAAAAGAAGAAAAGGATTTTAGGTAATGGGAAAGAAAAAGAGATCCAGTCCAATTAAGCAGAACTGGACTAGAATGGATCAGACCTGGAATTATTAAATTCTAGTTCTGAATTCTAGAAATTGGAAGCTGAGACAGTTAAGATGAAAGGCTTGTTCACATGTTACATTGAACACAGATACAAGCTGTCTCTACATGTGTACAATAGTGTGAAAGAGTGTAACTTGTTGAACAGCTCAATTAATTGTGTGTGCAGAGACTGTGCACCTATTGCACATTGCATGTGAATAACCTATGAATGTACAGCTCATCTTGGTGCATACTTGTTTAGTCGTTTAGTCGTGTCCAACTCTTCATGACCCCATGGACCAGAGCACGTCTTCCACTGCCTCCCGCAGCTTGGTCAAACTCATGTTCGCAGCATACAGAGGTACACAAATTGTACACTTGTTGGAGGTTACATGTGAGTAACATAGAAGGGTGAAACTCAGCTAGCTGTGTACAGAGGTACACCGGTGGTACACTAGTTGAACGCAACCAGCAATGTTTATCTTTCTATAAGCCAGTTTGAGGTGGTGGTGGTGTTGTTTTTGCAATCAAACGTTGTACACATTTTATTCAATAAAATAATAAATAAGATAATAGCAGACAGGTGTACAGCTCACCTAGTTGGGTACAGAGGTTCACAGCCCTCGCTGAGTGAAAAGTGTAACTACTAAGATGTAAAACCTGTACTCAAGTATCGTAAGTGTTCCTCAAGTTGAATGTGCACCTTCTGCTCCAGGTGAGATGCCTCTGTTGTTCCAGGGAAGCAGCCGAGCAAGTTTAAGGATGTGTGGGCTGTGGAGAATAGCTTGTGTGGGCTGGAGGAGCATTTTGTTGAACTTGAGTGAATTAAGGAAAAAAAGAATTGTCTTTCTTGAAAGTCTGCTGAAGGATTTAATGATCTGGAAAGATAATGTGTAACATGCTCAGGGATTAGGACATGGGAAGAGGAGAAGGGGAGAAATGGAATCCAGAGTCCTCTTCAGGCAACTGTGAGGATAGGAATGTGGAACATGGGCCTTTTCATTGGCTACTGGTAGAGGCATGCAGTACTGGATTGGCCAGGGCTGGTGTAAGCAAATATTAGGAGTCTCTGTTTTTTTTACTGGCCTGATCTAGAAGGCAGAAACTCCACCCATCTCCAGCCCTTGGTTGCAGTGACCTTATAAGGATATTCAGTCAATGGAGGGGTTTTGTGCTACTTGCCAATCCTAGGGGGTTGATGTTGATCATCACCACAATGCTTGTAGAGCCAGGAGAGTCTTCAGGAGGCTCAGCTTCTAACTCCATTTTTTCCTTATACCGGCAGCTCGTTCCTTCAAGGGCTTGACTACTGCAATTCATTCTAAGTGGGGACAACCCCTGGAGGCTACATGGAACTTTAAAATTACAGTACCTAAACCCCGGGTGGCGCTGTGGGTTCAACCACAGAGCCTAGGACTTGCCGATCAGAAGGTCGGCAGTTTGAATCCCCGTGATGGGGTGAGCTCCCGTTGCTCGGTCCCTGCTCCTGCCAACCTAGTAGTTCGAAAGCACCTCAAAGTGCAAGTAGATAAATAGGTACCGCTCCGGCGGGAAGGTAAATGGCTTTCTGTGCGCTGCTCTGGTTCACCAGAAGCGGCTTAGTCATGCTGGCCACATGACCTGGAAGCTGTACGCCAGCTTCCTCAGCCAGTAAAGCGAGATGAATCGGTCACAACTGGACCTAATAGTCAGGGGCCCCTTTACCTTTACCTTAAACCCCACCCCCCAGGAAAGAGAAAGCATTCCAGGACAACAAAGACTGTGCTGCAACAAAAGCTTTAATGGAGCAGGGGAAAGAGTGATATGGGGAGAGGAGATGTTTGTATTACAACAGCATCGAATATAGTTTTACATGACACAACTAGCATGTGGTGAAGTACATTCTGTCCTGCCTTCCTTGGGGAAGGTTTCCTGCATATAGCACAAAAAAGCAAGCAGAGGGGGTGGAAAATAAATACCAGAGACAATGCAACATATCTCAGTAAAAGTGCAATGTGTGAATGTCATGGTACAGATTTCAGAGGCAGGGAGCAACTCACGGCTTCTGCTTGAAACTGCAGCAGCTCAGCACTTGTGAAAGCTCAGGTCCTTAAATTCAGTTGCCGGTTTCGGTCACGGTTGTCAGATTCCCAGGTTGCCCCAGATCCCAATGGATAATCTATTTGAGTTTAGCAGGGATACCCGCAGATGCTTTGCCTGCGCTTTGACCCATAGCAGGATTTGCCCAGGTACCCACCTACAGAGCCCCCCAGTCCGTAGCGGGAAGAACCGTAGCCGTAGCCTCCGGAACCACCATACCCATATCCGCCGCCATAGCCACCGCCATACCCATAGCCACTAGCACACGGGGAATAGCCGGAGACGGCCAATGGCTGGCAGCTGGAGGACAGGATGGGTCCTGGGATGGTCAACACAATTGGAGCTGGCTGGACCGTCACTTCGGACGGTGGGATCTGGCTAATACAGGACTGGGGGACACCAGGGACGATGCCAAGGCTGCTGGATGACATAGCGCCGCCGCCGCCATAGCTGACGATGCCACCGCTGATGCCACCACCAACGCCACCGCCGATGCTACCGATGCCACCGCCGATGCCACCGCCGATGCTACCACCAATGCCACATTGTCCAATACCATGGGAAGGCCTGCTACATGGGATGGAGCACGATGACTGAGAGAAGAAAGACATGTCTGAAGAATATAGGTGAGCCTGGGGAACAACAGCAAGGAGAAAAGCAATTCATTAATTCGGAAGGAGGTGCAGAAAGGCTACGTAGCGTGGAGCAGGGCAGGTTGAATCCACCACTTTTAAGTTTCTCACTTTCCCAATATAAATTCTAGTCCTCCCCAATTTCGCTGAAAGTTGTAGGTTATTTATTTATTTATTTATGGCTGGCAAATCTTTAGCCTGACCCAACAAGGCAATTATTATGTTATCCACTCTTCTAGTATGGAAATTACATCCTACATTAACTATGACAATTTATCTCTACACAGCGATGTTATCTCAGAAAAATAAACAAGAGCATTAAAAAAAAATATATTTTAATCATCAAAGCAACGATCTTTGGTTTCGAAAGCTTAGGAGGTGAGCCAGAATAGTTAATGAGTAAGCACACACAATCTTAATTGTGAGACCTCAAGGGCAAAATTCTTAACTGATGTAAAACAACAGGCTGGTATGGAACATCTATTCACTGACACCAGGCGTGGCTTTGAGCTTCTTTGTCAAGAGATGGTAACACAGGAGCAAATTAACTTTCTCTCTCTCTCTCTCTCTCTCTCTCTCTCTCACACACACACACACACCCGAGAGAGAGAGAGAGAGAGAGAGAGAGATCGTTCAAGTTCAATCTTCTCACTAGGCCAGATTTAATTTTTGAATAAAGTTTTGTTGTTGTTCATCTCCAACCCACAAGAAATCGACAAACCTCCCAATAAAAAAGCAACAAATCACAACCACCTGATTATTTTTTTTAAAAAAAATTTAAACAATTTGGGATTCTTGTTATGGAGATAAGGAATGAGTTATGCCCATTGAGTATCCCCTGAGTAGTATTAATATTGCATACAGCCCACTGGGTCTATCTTAGCATGGTTTCTTCTGGAAGATTGACTATGCTCCAAGGGCTCGGCTTCTGTCATCTGAGAACTCTTTGAACTGGGGTGGGGTGAGTGGATTTCCTCTGGGACCTTCAACAGGCTCTATCACTCGCCTAAAAGCTATCCCTTAACTTATTACTGGACTGCAGGCATGGAGAACTTGTGGCCCTCCATATGTTGGTCTCTGACTCCCATCCTTCCTGTCAATTCTTCATATGTTGGCTGGGGGCTGTTTGGAGTTGTAGTCTAACAATATCTGGAGGGCTACAGGTTCTCATACCTGGCATATGGACTCTCTCTCTCTCTCTCTCTCTCTCTCTCTCTCTCTCTCCCCTTTCTATATTTCTATCTATATCTAGCATCTATCTATCTATCATCTATCTATCTATATTCTGAACTAAGCAAAGCTATCTTTCCCTCTCTCATAATTCTTTGCAGGTTCTCACCCCATCAGGAACCTTCAAATCCCTCTCAGAACTTCACTTCAAGCAACATTCAGTGGCAGCTTAAGAACCTAAGAAGAACTCTGCTGATGGATCAGGCCAAAGGCCCATCATCTAGTCCAGCTTCCTGCCCTCACCTTGACCACCCAGAAGGCAACCACCCTCTCCCCACTCACGGTCCCCAGAAATTGCTTTTCAGAGGCATATTGCCACCAACAGTAGAGGTAGAACATTGTCGTCATGGCTGGTAGCTGCTGATAGCTACATTCTCCATGGATTTACCTAATCCAAAAAGAACATAAGGACAGCCCTGGTGGATCAGGCCAAAAGTGGCCCATCTAGCCTGGCATCCTGTTCTCACAGTGGCCAACCAAGGTCCCAGGGAGAAGTCCACAAGCAGCACCTGTGTGAAAGAGCAGTTCTCCCCACTTGCCTTTCCCAGCACTCAGAGGATTGCTTCCTCTGAGGCAGAACTTGAGAGAGACAGAGAGAGTCAGACGGGGAGACTCTCAAGAATGTTCCTCTTACCCGGTTCTCTAGAGTGCAGAAATGAAGAGATGCGCTTGAGAGTTGCTGCTGAAGAGACTGTGGAGAACCCAGGCCTTTTATACCATTTTTCCAAGGCGCAGGCCACAGGATGAGAGGCGTACCGCCTTCCACTTTGAGATTTAATTATTTCTCAACAAGCATTTGATCTATTATCTCTATCTTTGCCCCAATTAATTGGACATATTTATTTTTTGCTTATTATGAAGTATGAGTCGTTCGCCTTCCTGGTATATCATAATCTCTCTCACTCGCTCTTCTTAAACTCCACCCTACATATTATTTGTCATTTGCCCTTGGTAAAATTCCCATGACTAAAAAACAAAACAAAAACCCTAGTAAATAGGGCAGCAGTGTATCCCCACCCTTGTTGAGAGAGAGGCAAGTTGAATCAACTTGGTGGCATCTATCTGAACTGGATCTAAAACACATGTCCAAGCGGGAATGTCAACACCAGATTATGTCTTAGGCAACCATTTCTTCATTGGGCTAACTTCATATTCAGCAGGAAAGTGATGGGCAATAGGAGTTTCCCCACCTTCCAGACCCATCACTGGCAGAGGAGAGATGGGGAAGAAATTAGATTCATCTCTCAGTTACAGTGGTACCTCGGGTTACATACGCTTCAGGTTACATATGCTTCAGGTTACAGACTCCGCTAACCCAGAAATAGTGCTTCAGGTTAAGAACTTTGTTTCAGGATAAGAACAGAAATCATGCTCCAGTGGCATGGCAGCAGCAGGAGGCCCCATTAGCTAAAGTGGTGCTTCAGGTTAAGAACAGTTTCAGGTTAAGTATGGACCTCCGGAACGAATTAAGTATTTAACCCGAGGTACCACTGTAATGGTAAACCAACCTAATCCACACTTTCCAAAAACAGTGTATGAACCAAAACACAGATGTCCTTCGAAACAGTCATTGACTGTTAACAATGAAGATTTGATTCCATTAGAAACTTGCATTTCTTTAGGTTTTGCAATGCAAGTCCACAGCCAAGTAATGTGTACCAAAATGCATATATTTGCAGAAAGTGTGAAAATAGGAAGCATATATCAGTGAAATGAGCTTACAAAAATGCACCGGGAGCCGGTGTAGTGTAGTGGTTAAGAGCGGTAGTCTTGTAATTTGGTGAACTGGGTTCGATTCCCCGCTCCTCCACATGCCGCTGCTGGGTGACCTTGGGCCAGTCACACTTCTCTGAAGTCTCTCAGCCCCACTCACCTCACAGGTGAGTTGTGGGGGAGGAAGGGAAAGGAGATTGTGAGCCACTTTGAGACTCCTTCGGGTAGTGATAAAGTGGGATATCAAATCCAAACTACGGCTGAGAAATTAGCTATGCAAATAATATATACATATTAGGGGAAAGTGTGTCCAATCAATGTGTATATTATGAGAAATGTGCAGAAAAAATATTGCTGATGAACTTTCACGAGAACTTTTAAAAGGAAAAAATAATAATTGCAAACCAATGCAGAAATGTGGAGAATTGAACTTAAGGCTAGGAAAGATGAAAAACGAAGAGAAAGCAAAATTGACAGATTTGCCCATCCCTAAAGCAGCTCCTTGGGCAGAGCAGCTGTTACTAGCAACAAAACTGCCAACAAAGTTAGGGTGCAATCTTAAGTATGGAAAGCCAATTTAATTTACACTGGTTTATGCTGAGCTGCTACAAAGTATGCTAGATACAGACTCCATTTAGGAATGGGGATATTGCTGACTGAGCTGGCCTAAGCCTGGCAGAGGGGAAGCAAGCCTTCAAAATAGAGTATGGCTTACACCACCATTTTTGTCATGTACGGTATATGGGAGTTTGAGTCCAGTTAACAGTTGTCCAGATACAGTGCTGTTCATACCACATGGGTTACAGACCCGAGCAAAAGTATTATCAAAGCACTTCTGGCCACCATACTGCAGATTGCTCACCTATATCTTAGGAGAGTCTTCCCTTATCTGGACTTTAGATGTTGTTGAACTCACAATGCCCAACAGCCTTCACTGGCATGGTCAATGGTGATGGAAAGGTGTGGTCCAGTCACATTTGAAGGACCACAGTTTCCCCATCCCTGACATGGCCAATATGGAAGAAGACAGTCCAGTGTTCTGGTGTGATAGAAGACACCTTCTTTTGCTTAAGAGTAGGGAGATATATAAATTCAGTAAATGAAAGTGAAATGAGATAGCTAAGTGGTAGAGAAACAGCTTTGTACTCAGTCGTCCTTGATTTCAATCTCCAGCACCTCTGGGTAGGTGCTGGAATGACCCCTTCTCAAAACCTTGGAGACCCTCTGCCAGTCAGTGTATACGAAGGTAGATCTGACTTGTCATAAGGCAGATTCTTATCTTTCTGTTGAAACCAGCCCTAGTTAAGCAGGAGAACAGGGATAGCTCAGCTACACAGCCAATATCATCAGTGGTCAGGGAGAGTGTAAGTTGTAGACTGCGGAAGGCATCAAGCTGGGGAAGGTCAGTCTAGAGTGGGAAGCCTTTGACCCTACAGAGGTTTTTGGAGTCCACCATCCTTGACGATTGGCCATGCTGATCAGCTGAGCCTGACAGAGTCTAACAACACCTGGAAGGTCATGAGGACCGGGATCTTCCTTGAGCAGGGGAACAACCATCACTCAGTGACAGAACACCTCTTTGGCATGCAGGATGTCCCAAATTCAACCATCAGCATCTCCATCTAGGGCAAAGGTAAACTCCCTGCCTGAAACCTCAGAGAGCCACTGCGTATCAGTGTGGACATTGCTGAGCAAGATAGAGCAAAGATGCACTATTTGGCCTTTGTTCAATGATCAGGGAGAGCAGGACTCTAACAGTGCTTGAAGGGCTCCAAGGTGGCAACCACTGAACTATTTATATATTTTTTAGAATATGAGAAGGGAAACTGAGCAAGGGCACTATCAAATAACTGGCTCATTGTAAAAGCATTGCCAAGGCTTCAACTATCCATGACATAGCCTCCCCATAGGTAAGCATGACTGGCTGGAGGTCTCACACTGACATTTTGTGTGTTTACATAGTTAATATTAGGGAGCTATACCTTGACAAAATGATCATGTTTAAGTTGTCTGCTAACAACCCTTCTGTGTTGGTTTAAATCAAGCATAGGCAAACTTGGCCCTCCAGATGTTTTGGGGCTACAATTACCATCATCCCTGACCACTGGTCCTGTTATCTACGGAAGATGGGAGTTGTAGTCCCAAAACATCTGGAGGGCCAAGTTTGCCTTTGCCTGGTTTAAATGCCTGGAAAGAGTCAGATCCCAAATGTTCCCTTGTCATCCTTTCAGAGATGGACCTTTGGGGCTCTTTCCAATGGAAGGTGATAAACAGTAGGCAGTGGTAAACAGCATGGCAGTTAGGTCTAAAAGGGCCAGAGTAGGACATGGTTTCAACAAGTGACCAATAATATTAGAAACATTTTTTAAAAATTAAAAATAAAATCTGATCTTATGGAGAGAAGCACTTCTTGCTCAAATCTTTTGGTCACCCATGAAACGTATCATAAAACCCAATGGGCCGGTCATACCTGATCAGCCTCTACTGCACATCACTGTATGCAGGTTAGTTGTGTCAGAAGTTATGGAGGTGAGGAAACCGACACGGAGCTGTTTTCGAAAACAGGAGCCCTTAATTCATGGAACTCTTCGTTCCACCCAACGCCATGTGGGAAAAAGTCATTATCAGCCCACAAAAACCACTGGACTACCACCTGTTTACAACACAGGCCGCTTCTACAAAAGTTTCTAGAAGCGTTTCCTAACTCTCTTTGAATTTAATTCAAATCTCTTTGGATGCCACCGCAGTGAATTATTTGCTGCGATTGTGAGATAGATCTGGAATGTCTTAAGCAGGCATTTCCCCCCCCCCCCCCGTCAAAGAAAATTTTATTGCCATTCATTAGTGGGGTGTTGAATTTAAAATCATTCCATTAGAAGTAATCATAATATTGCACGCATGGAAAGAAGAAAAGAACTGCCATCCGACTAATTAAAGGGTTTGCAAAGCCGTCTGAAATCCTTTAGGTAACAGGAGGCTGAAAAATTGCAGCCTCCGCCCCACCTCTGGCTGCTGTTCCCATTAATATCTCAGAATCATCCAAGGCTCAGCAAGATGAAGTCATAAAGGGAGTTTGTTGGCAGGAGGGGGGGAAATATTGTGAAACCTTGTGCAGTGAACCCAGAAACGAGGCATTGCAACATTAAGACGTTCATTTTTGAGGAAGATGACGAACATGAAAGGACTCCGAAGAATTGGTAGGTAGACACAGGGCTTTTTTCAGGCTGGAACTCACCAGAAATCAGTTCCAGCACCTCTCAGGTGGGTGTCATTATAAGAGGACAAGGGAGATGTTCATGGTGAGTTCTGGCACCTCTTTTTCTAGAAAAATAGCACTGGGTAGACAGACACCCTGTCCAGTGGTACCTGAATTAAGTACTTAATTCATTCTGGCGGTCCGTTCTTAACCTGAAACTGTTCTTAACCTGAAGCACCACTTTAGCTAATGGGGCCTCCTGCTGCTGCCGTGCTGCCGGAGCATGATTTCTGTTCTCATCCTGAAGCAAAGTTCTTAACCCGAGGTACTATTTCTGGGTTAGCAGAGTCTGTAACCTGAAGCATCTGTAACCTGAAGCGTATGTAACCCGAGGTACCACTGTATATTTTCACGTGATATAGCAAGGGTGCAGGAACCTTACAACTCCCATCAATCCTGACCTTTGACAGTGCTGACTGTGGCTGATGGAAGTCATAGTTCAGGAACATATAGAGGGCCAAATGTTCTCCACATATGCTTCATTTCTATGTCTTCCTAACTTTTAAAAAGTATTTATACCCCACCATATAAAAAAGCAAACAAATACTCAGGAGTTCTTCATGACATTCATAGGTTCTCTAAGAACTTTTAAAAAAAGAGTAGAGTATAAACATAGCCAAAATAAGGAGTGAAGACCCCAATGTTCATCATCATCTGGAGGGCCATCCTTGCTTTATACCTGTGGAAGTGCATTTAATATGTGATCCCTTATTGGTTGGGACATGAATCTACAGGGATGATATGCCATAGGGTAGGATCTGGTGTTAGTCCTACTCAGAATACTGTAGACCCTTTGAAATCAATGGACATGATTAAATTAAACCCATTGGTTTCAGTGGGTCTACTCTGAGTATGACTTGGTTGGATACAACCCTTGGTTTGGAAATGGAGTTTTCTAAAAGTGTATCTGAAGTCAATACAATCAACACAAAACTCAAAAAAATCTGTGTATTCCCTGCCCATGGATTCAGAGTCAAGCTGGCTTTTTCAACTTGTTGATTTGCCATTGAGGAGGACAGTTGGGTTGAGACACATCTGCCTATGGAAGCTTCACTATGGAAGATATTTGTATAGTGGAAGCTGGATATACCCACCCACCTTAGGTTGGATGGACCATTTGGTCTAAAATTATCTGAATTGTTTTGAATGCATAGTGAATTTTATGTGATTGTGAATGGAGATGCAACATTTGACAGTTCTTGGCTATGCTATTTATTTTATGAAACAGTAGTTTTTAAATTGTGAGTTTAGTGCATGTAAAATATTTGCACTAAATTTAGAGCCCATCAACACACCTTAGATCCTCTTCATTTTACATGTTGGCAGAGGATCCCTATTAAAGAATTCCACACATACTAATGGATCCCTTTGAAATTATCTAAATCCAAGTGTTCGTACTAAGGGCCAGCAAGTGTAAATTACTAAGATTTTATAATAGCTCTGGTCTGCTATGGCAGTGGTACATTACTCCAGGCTTAGAGTTAAATGTTGATTTGTTGTATATACACTGTAATGTCTTGGAGATATTTATACAAATAAAAACAACAATCTTGAAGACTTGCTTTGTGGATCTAACATTCAATACTTGCCATGAGCACATCACCACATCTTTTAAAAATATTTATGTATTTTACAGAGAAACACACTAACCTTCTTTGTCCCTCCTGGAAAGAAGCCAAGTTTTAAAAAGGGATTGGGGGTGCTTAAAATCTGCTCTTGGTAAAATAGTTTCTAACAGTATGAAATATGAAAGAGAGGGAGCGGGAGAAACAGAGACAGAGACAGAGTGAATCAAGCAAACAGAAGGACAAGTCTTGCTGAAGAATAATCAGCATGGCTTCTGCCAATGTGAGTCCTATCTCATAAATGTTTCTGAATTCTTTGAGAATGTCAAGAAACATGTGGATAGAGGGTGATTCTGAAGATACTGTGTACTTAGACTGTGTGCTTTTGACAAGAACCCCACCCCTCAGTAAATGTAGCAGTCATGGAATGAGAGGACATGCTGTCTTATGGTAAAAATAATGGGAAGCAGAGAAATTAGAAATAAATGGACAGTGCCAGAAAGTGGAATCCCCAAAGGTTCTATGGGGTGCCTCAATGATTTTATTTTTTTGAAACTGACCCCTAAGGAAGGACTGGGACCACTGTAGATGAGGGTATTTCTGAAGCACCTTCACAACAGGTGGTTGCTGGCATCAGGTCTACCAGGGTGACCAAAGCTAAGTCTAAGGTGGCTTGAAATGGGTCTAGATAATCCATTTCATCCAAGATTCCCTGAAACTGAGGTCCCTCCACAGATTCCAACTTTTGTCCCCAGATTCCAACTTTTCAACTTAATCTGTTTGATTTCTTACGATAAGCCATTTTAGTTAAGAATGACACCTTCCCTGAATACAATCTGTAAATGGTGCCAGAGACCAAACCTCGAATATTCTGAATGGAAACTGTGTGTGCTCTACTACTGAGCAGTGTGCTTCCCTCTTCCAATTAATATATGCAAATAAATATGAGACATTTCCTCTCACTAAGCCAGACCATCGGTGAACTATTTCAGCTGCCACCAGCTATTTGCGTTGTTATTGGCATAAGAGCTATTTGAGTTCTTAGCCTCAGGCAGCAAAATGTCTTGTGCTGCTTCTGAATCTAAGAACAGGATAGCGCAAACATTACCACTACCCCTAATTCCATGCATGGAAGGTGGCTGGACTGGAAGCTGAGACTTATTTTATCCCATGCAATGTGAAAACAATGTTTCTAGCAACAGGTAACTAGCACGCTAGTTTCCAGCCCTGGAAGGCAGCACCATAGTTTAACAGGTGCAGAACAGATCTGTAGCTTACATAGCTCTGGTTTCCAACACAAGGGGTCTTAGGGAGCTCTAGAGGAAAGGTTGGGAGTGGGGGACTGCCACCGCTGCCTCCAGTATTATTTGCCTCAGGCAATTATCTTGTTCGGTCTCATGATAGGTACAGTCCTGCTTAGGTTGAGGTCAGGGATGACTGGTGCCCTTTGAGGGTGGAGAGGTGGAAGGCAGGAATACTAGTAATAGGTGACACCAGAGAGTCAACAATAGCTTTTAGCTTTGCCTCCATTCTCCTCCCTGCTTGAGACTAAGGAAGAGGAAGACTGGCAGGCAGGGCTAAGTAATCAATTGGTTCTAAGTAAAAAGACAGCATCTTAAAAAGCTGAGACACCACCATGCTGACAAAGGTCCATATAGTTAAAGCTATGGTTTTCCCAGTAGTGATGTATGGAAGTGAGAGCTGGACCACCAAGAAGGCTGATCATCGAAGAATGGATGCTTTTGAATTATGGTGCTGGAGGAGACTCTTGAGAGTCCCATGGACTGCAAGAAGATCAAACTGATCCATTTTGAAGGAAATCAGCCCTGAGTGCTCACTGGAAGGATAGATCCTGAAGCTGAGGCTCCAAGACTTTGGTCACCTCATGAGAAGAGAAGACTCCCTGGAAAAGACCCTGATGATGGGAAAGATGGAGGGCACAAGGAGAAGGGGACGACCGAGGACAAGATGGTGGGACAGTGTTCTCGAAGCTACCAACATGAGATTGACCAAACTGTGGGAGGCAGTGGAAGACAGGAGTGCCTGGCGTGCTCTGGTCCAGGGGGTCACGAAGAGTCGGACATGATTAAATGACTAAAAAACAACAACAACAAATGGCAGGCAGACTGAGACTGGTGGGGCAGTGTCCTCTCCAGGGTTTCATGGAGGAGTCTTCCCTAGCCATGAAGATGTCAGGGTCTGAACCTGGGACCTGTTAACAGGGTATCCTGTTAAAAGGATCTGGGAGGAGTGGCTCCTGTCCGATGCCCAGATGGGATCAAGGACCATACTTCTTCTCCAAAGGGGACCAGTTGGGGGATGCTCTGATTTTACGTAGGTCATAGGGGGTCATTCCCCCCCCCCCCGGCTTCACCCTTAGTAACACTCCCAGTGGTCGGGCAGGAGTGACACACACAGTTGCTTACCACAATGCCTATGACCAAGTCTTCACATCTGTAACCAATAAAGTTGTGGCCGAACCAATATGCCATGTGTTGTCTAGTTACTTGCACCTTAGGAAACAGGGTGATTACAGGGCCTCAAAACACAAGAGAAGCCTGGAGGGCCACGTTTGCACACACCATTCTCCTGGGGTTCCCTGTCCTGGCTTGCAGAAAAGCCCAGCTGAAAATGCCTCGGGGTTTTCAATAAGTGCAGGAACCCAGAAAGGTTGTAAAGTGCAGATCACCAGTGATATGATTTTAGCTATTCATTCATTCATTCATTCATCTATTAAATTTATATCCTGCCCTTCCTTCCAAAGGAGCCCAGAGTGTCAAGCAGTCTGTGATAAAACAATAAAAAATACATCTTATTCATGGTATGGAAAAAGTGGATCGAGAAAACAATGTCTCAATTTCTCATAACACTAGAACTTGTCAACATCCAATGAAGCTGAATGTTGATTGGGACAGGCAAAAGAGAGTACCTCTTCAAACGTCATTTAGTTATACTATGCAACTCACATCTGCTGGAGGAAGCGATGGTCACCGACCTAGAGGGCTTCAAAAGAGCATTGGAACCTTTCGTGATGGGCAAGCCAATGGTTTGCTGCTAGCCATGATGGCTATAGTTTGCCTCCATGGTCAAAGGCATTAATGCTTCTGAATATGAGCTGCTGGAAACCACAGAAGGGGAGTAATAATAATAATTTATTATTTATACCCTGCCCATCTGGTTTGGTTTCCCCAGCCACTCTGGGCGGCTCCCAACAGAATATCAACAACACAATAAAGCATGAAACAATAAAACCCTCCCTGAACAGGGCTGCCTTCAGATGTCTTCTAAAAGTCAGATAGTTGTTTATTTCCATCTGATAGGAGTGTGTTCCACAGGGAGGCTGCCACTACCACTACCGAGAAGGTCCTCTGCCTGGTTCCCTGTAACTTCACTTCTCACAGTGAGGGAACTGGCAGAAGACCCTCAGAGGTAGACCTCAGTGTCTGGGCTGAACGATGGGGGTGGAGACGCTCCTTCAGGTATATTAGACTGAGTCTGAGTGTGTTCTTATGCTCAAATCCTGCTTGCAGGTTTCCCATAGAGGCATATGGGGGCCACTCTAAGAACAAGATGGCGGACCAGATGGGTCACTGGCCTAGGCCAGTAAGTTCTTCTTAAAAATGATATTAATATGGATGCAGACCGGGAAGCACCTCTGCTCAAAGGTCTTGTTGGAAGAGGAAGGTCTTCAACAGGTGACAAAAATAACAACGTGGAAGACACTTGTCTAATATTCAAGGGGAAGGGCATCCAAAGGGTAGCTGCCAACACAAGGAAGGCCCTGTTTTTACATTGTGTGTAACAGAACTCCTGATAAGAGAGACTGCTGAAATCAAAAGAGAGAGAAATCTAATTCCAGTGACAGATTCTTGAGTTAGCCTCTGTGGGCTTGATAGGAGAGCTGAAAATAATGCCAATATCTTTCATGTGTGGCAACCCAAGTGCATACTCAATTCTAACCAAACTAAGCCACATAGAGCACAATATACAGCAGGAGGCTTTCGTTTGGTCAGAATTGAATATACACCTCCAGAGTTAACAGTAAATACATTACTTCTGGTAAATGAGACACCATAGCTGCTGGAGGGCTGTGAAAATTTGGGTCTTGGACTTTTTAGACTTGTCTACCCATGAACTATCTGAAACCCAAATGGCACTTGGGTTGCCTGATGTCATTTTCTTTCCCAGCTCTCTTACCCCACTATGGAGATATGTTCCTATGGGGAGCTACTAGGCTTTGGAAAAGATCCGCAACAGCCTTGCTGGAACACAAACATGTGGAACACCAATCCATGGCAGTGCTGACTTTTATTGGTTTGCCTTCAGCCTAGCAAACATAGGAAATGGAGAGGTCCCCGGTTCAGAATTATCCAGAAATTATCTGAATTATCCAGACTATTCCCATCAGACATAAAGGAAAGTAGTATCACACAACTGGTTGCTTCCAAATAAGAGTGGAGAGTTCAGCTCCCCTTGCAGAACCAACATTAAAAATATATACTACAGCAATCATCAATATGCACATTCCAGCTTGCCAGACAGAATAACCTCCCTTACCTCCTCCTCAGAGCCAATTTTGGGGCTGTAGGGGGAGAAAAATGGGGGAACCCCATTGCGCTAGCTGAAGTCCTTGTGTGGGCTACCACTAGTGGGACTCATTCATTGTATCCAGCCTATGGGTTGCAACCCTCATTTCCCTTCCCACTGACTTCTGAGCCATGCCTTTAATTGCCATTAATTGGTTTATCATGTGCTTAACATTTTTGTTATGACAAGGGTTGGTTTCAGATCCAAGACTGGTTTCAGAGCCTTGCCTCCTACACTGCTTCCTTAGAGTCAACGGGGTGGGAGGAGGGGCGAGAGCACGAGCAGTAATGGATATGCGTGGCACTGAAGACTGAAGGCAAGGAATGCGGACGTTCCCTACCCAAGATTCTCCCTTATGAAAGAGGTTACAACATTTGAAGCTCTTTTTTTATATATATAAAAAAGCAAGCAAGTGGGACATAAATTACGGGTGGTGCAGAGAAAGAGAACAGAGAGAAGTTCTTCTTTCCTCTTCCATGTATGGGGCCATCCAATGAAGCTAAATGTTGGAAGATTCAGAACAGATAAAATAACACACTTCTACACACAGCACAGTTGAATCCATGAAACTTGATAGCGCCACACTGTACTGATGGCCACTAACCTTGATTGGACAAATTCATGGAGGGCAAGAAGCTTACGAGTAGTCATAGTGGCTCCACTGTTGCAATATGCCTCTGAATACCAGTTTCTGAAAATAGGTGGGGAGATTGCTTTAGTGCCCATGTTCTGGTTGTGGTCTTCCTAAGGCCATCAGGTTGGCCATTGTGAGCACAGGGTGCTAGACTAGATGAACTTTATCAAGTGGGGCTCCTCATACGCTCTTGTGGCGGAGGGCTCTGGTGTCCTTGTCCTGCATGTGGGTTTCCTGGAGGAATCTGAATGGCCAACGTGAGAATAGGTTGATGGACTGTAGTGCCCTATGGTCTATGTTATGAGAACTAGATGGGCCTTTGGCTTCATCCAACAGGACTCTTCTAATGTTGAGGCCTCCATGAGGTCCTACCTTTTCCACTTTCTGTTGCTGCAATGTACCAATTTCCTTATTTCCTGTTGCTTATTTGGTTGCAAGAGACGTTCTGAGTTGCAGAATTGTTTGGCAAGAGAGGCTCACCATGGCTCACATGGTTTCAACATTGGGTCTTGTGAATGCATCTCAGGTTTCAGGGCCAAGAAAGACCCCTCAGCCCAAGACTAAGGTGCTTCCTGTTAGGCAGAGCAGACAATTATTGGGCTGATGGACCATTGACCTGACTCAGTAGAAGGCAATTAACCTCTGCAATTTTCTTGGGGAGATTAATGCTGACAGCCTGGTTAAAAGAGAAGAGGGAGAAGGAAGCGCTAGATCTAAATGACAGGGCTGTGGGTAATCATTGGTGGAACCTCAATTAAATCCAAGGCAATTTCACAAAAGATGAGACAGATAAATTCAAAGGTGGAATGTGCGGTTTTCAGATGGCTGATGGAGGCCTGGAATCCAGAACACAACAAAGCAATTTGGGATTTCTGGCTCTCAACTGCTCATATCATCCCAGATTAATTAAGCCCTCAGGCAAAGATGGGTGTCTCTCTTTCCAGTTCAGGGCCCAAACATGAAACTGTATAAAAGGGACAGGGGAGCCCTGGACTTTTCAGATTGCTCCGTTCCTCTCTACATCCAAACGAAACTTCTTCTAACCAGGTAAGACTGATAATCTATTCATTTCTTTGTTTATTATACTTATGTTTGGCAGATTGACTACCAACGTAGGAATCGGCCTTATACCAAGTTGGACCGTTGGTCCACCTGGCGAAGTATTGTCTACACTGACTGGCAGTGGCTCTCCAGCGTTACTGGCAGGTGATCTCCACCAACCCTTACAGGAGATGCTGGGGCTTGAACCCGGGTCCTTCTGCATGCAGAGCAGATGTTCTACCCACTGAGCTATGGACCTTCCTCTGCTGCTTCCAACTTGTAACAGGCAGGCATGGTGCAATATCTTTGGGGATGTTTGGGTGTGTGTATAGCAGTCTCCTTAGGCTCTGGCTGTTGATGATACAGTACAGTTCTTGACTCACCTTTTCAAAGGTGTGGTGGCCGAAGGAGCTTCAGTTGCACTCAAGGCCTGGTTGAGAGTCAATATCTTAATGCACCAAAGTGGCTCTTCCATTTGTCTTGACGAGGAACTCTTTATTATATATCTATTTACCTCTAATAACCCCATCAATGTCCAGGGAAATGAGGTTTCCAGGCTAAATTTTAACACAAGAGGTTGCAATGGTCACCAGCATGGATGGCTTTAACAAGGGACTAGAGAAATTCATGGAGGATGAGACTACAAGCCACAAGGGATTTGTTCTAACTCCATTTTAGGAGGCAGTATGCCTCTGAAGAGCAGAGGATTCTGGGCCTCACAAGTGGGGAGGGTTGCTGTTACTTGTCCTGTTTGTGGGCTTCCCATTGTGGTATCTGGTTGGCCAATGGGAGAACAGGATGCTAAACTGGATGAGCCCTTTTTGGCTTGATCTGGCAGGACTCTTCTTACATTCATCCGGGGGTGGGAGGCAAGGAGGAGGCTGCCAGAGCTTTTTACAACAATCAAAAATAGTTCTAGTTACAGGTAGGTAGCCATGTTGGTCTGCCATGGTCAAACCAAAATAAAATAATAATTAAAAAATCCTTTCTGTAGCACAATAGAGAACAATTAAGTTAGTTATTGGTATGAGCTTTTGTGTGCATGCACACTTCTTCAAAAATAGAACACCCTTGCTTTCAAGCTTACAATCTCAAAGACATGGCACAAGAAGGAAAGGGCAGCGGGGGAAAGCAAACCCACTGTTTCTTAGGTAAAGGACCTTCACTTTGGCAGGAAGAAGGGAAGCACCATGACAGCTCCTTCTTTGGCTGAGGGACAGGGCCAAGTTGGTCTTCCCTTGCTGTGATGCTCTTGCTGGGAGGCTCCTCAGCTCTGTCTCCTAGAACAACTGCCACTTGGAGATGAGGAGCCTTTCTGGGGAAACCAGCTCCTGACCCTTTCTTCTTCAGCTTCAGATAAGCCTAGCTGGGTCAGGCCAAAGGCCCTCCTAGTCCAACATCCTCTTCTCACAGTGGCCAACCAGATACTTGTAGGAAACCTGCAAGCAGGACCCAGACACAAGAACAACTCTACCCTTCTGTGGCTTCCAGTAACTGGTATTCAGAAGTATTACTGCCCTCTGACCATGGAGGGCAGAGGAAAGCCACTGTGACTAGTAGATGTTGATAGCCTCATCCTTCATGAATCTGGACAATCCACTTTTAAAGTCATCCAAGATGGTAGCTATCACAGCCTCCTGTGGGAGCAGGTTCCATAGTACAACTCTGCGCTGTGTGAAGGACTTTCTTTTATCTGATCCGAATCTTCCAACATTCAGACTCATTAGATGTCCACAAGTGCTAGTGTTAGGAGAAAACATGTTCCTTATGCCCCCCACCCACCCCACAAATCCACAATTTATTCCAGACCAAATTTTCTAATCCATTAATATTTATCCTTCCTGTTGTTCTACAGCCAACTTCCAAAACACAGCCATGCATTCTAAAAGTCAATCCTGTGCTGTCCCATCAATTGGCCTTGGACATTGTGGATATGGCGGTGGATATGGCGGTGGATATGGCATCGGAGGTGGCATCATCGGAGGTGGTGGCATCGGAGGTGGCATCATCGGAGGTGGTGGCTTCGGTGGCGGCGTATCATCCAGCAGCCTTGGCATAGTCCCCGGGGCCAATGTTTCCTGCGTGAGCCAAATTCCATCATCAGAAGTGGTGATCCAGCCAGCTCCAGTTGTGTTGACCATCCCAGGACCCATCCTCACCTCAAACGAGCCAATGTCTGTGGGAGGTTACAGTCCATGTGCTTCTGGTTATGGCTACGGGTCTTCTGGTTATGGCTATGGGTCTTCTGGTTATGGCTATGGGTCTTCTGGTTATGGCTATGGCTGTGGGGTGGGTTCCTCTTCTGGAGGTTACCTCGGTGGTGGCTACAGAGGTGGCCAGTCATCCAAGGGTTACCCCTGCTAAGCCATTGTGAGAAGACCAGGACTATCCAGAAATCGCCAACCCACCAGTACGGACTCTGTAGCCAAGTTTATGGGTCTGGGCTTCAACTAATGTTGAGCTCCAGACTTATGAATGGTTCGCCATATATGTGAAAGATGAAAGCCCTGTTATGTATTCTTTTCTCCCAACTATTTACTTTCCATAAGTGTATATTCTCTTTTCCACATTGCTCTCCAGCTACATAAGGACCAAAGGTCCATCCTACATCTACACGTCTCTCTGTCTCTCTTCTGAGAGATTATTCTCTTGTTACGTAGCTTGGTTGTATGTTTTCTTGATACTCTTCATTTTCTAATAAAGCTTCCTTTGCATCATAAACCAGCTTCTTGCTGTTCTTGTTTGGTAATAATAATAATAATAATAATAATAATAATAATAATAATAATGAGTTTGACCAAACTCCGGGAGACAGTGGAAGGCAGGAGTGCCTGGCATTCTCTGGTCCAGGGGGTCACGAAGAGTCAGACACGACTAAATGACTAAACAACAACAGATTGATCAGGTCAACATCAGGTAGGGAACCCCTTGTTTATGGGGACTGATGCTACTACAGGTGCAAGCAGGAATCAACTTACAAGTCCCTAAAGCAGCCTTTCTCAAGCTGTAGATCCCCAGATGTTGTTGGACTACAACTCCCATCACCCCTAGCTAGCAAGGCCAGAGCTCAGGGATGATGGGAATTGTAGTCCAACAACATCTGGGGACCCACAGCTTGAGACAAAAAGAATGATGGAGAGTTAAATGAGGCAATTGCTCAAAATGTTGATGCCTTTGGAGAGGTTCCTTTATGGCGGAGAAAGTTAAGAGATAACAAGATCAAGAGAGCTGAGTGGGCAGCAAAGGAGGCAGATGCGGTGACAGGGGAGTTTTGAAGTGGTTTTTGTGAAATCAGGGAGACACAGCTTAGAAAACCACCCTGCCACATTCCACGATAACAACTGCAGAGAGGAATTTTGCACCAGGTTCCCAGCCGTGTCATAAAGTCAATCTAGGAGCATATCAGAAGGCTGGCTATCACTTGAAGCCCTGGACGGATCCTGATGTATTTTGTCCTCTACCTCCGGGGTGTCAGTTATTAATCCATGGACCCTGGTGACATTTGCTAAGGCAATCGGGAGGTCTTCGTCAAAGACAATTAAATCTGTCTCTGGTAGTTTCCCTTGGGAGGAGCATCACTTGGTGATGGCTGATTAGGTTCCAGACGGGGTAATGGATGGTGAATTTCAAGATCAACCAAGGGGCTACTGGAGTGTCCTGTCTTTAACTTATCTAGGTTGGGCTGGCATTCTTTATTTAACTGGCCTTTTTGCTCTAAAGTTTTCCTCGCCAGGGGAGTGTTACAGCTGGGTGCATTACTTGTATCCATCCTTAACGGCCCTGCTGAATGAACCACGAATTAACGGATCCTACTGCAAGAAACTGCAGTCCCTCTAGGGATGGGGGAGAATAAAAAAAAATGTAGATTCGGAAGGGTCTCAAATGGTCATCTAGTCCAACCCCCTGAAATGCAGGAATCACAGCTAAAGATCCCCTGATTTGATCTTGTTTAAAGCCAAATCAAGTTTGTGCTTTGTGAACCAGAACAGAGCTCTCTATCAATTTTTTACTGACTTGAATTTCACAGTTCTCCAACCAATTATTTTACAGAAATGCAGAGCTGTCCCACCCATGACTTTCCCACCCCTGCCTGGCAGTGCAGTGAGGGTTTGTACCTGCTTCTCCTGAAGGGAGAAAAGGGGATCTGGAAAGGATCCCCCCATTGGGTGGGGGAGACGCTGCAAGGGTTTCTTGTGAAGCAGCCCAACAGAGTTTGCCCCACCCATCATGGGGGCAGCAGTGAGGTGTTTTGCCTGAGGTGCTGAAATACCCCCAGCAGGGCCAGATTTAGGTTGGATGAGGCCTTGAGTTACTGAAGGTAATGGGGCCTTTTATATGTCCAGCTGTCCTTTGTCAACAACAAATGGTCACTGTTTTGTGTTGAATATATGCTATATAGTAATTGATGGACCTAATAGGTATCTCAAGCCATTTGCACATAACATGTAGGCACCCTAGATATAGAAAGGAGCAAACCAGTGATATTTTAGGGAGCAGGCTAGCAGGCGGGGCCCATGACTTACATCATAGGAGCCTACACAACACAAAACACTGTTGCTGTATGTAGGTTTTATTTTATTTTATTTGTTTTTTGTTTTGTTTTGTTTTGTTTTTTTAACTTACGGTATATTTTGGAAATGTACACCCAGTTTTTTCCCCTTTAAATTTTTTAGGGGCCCCGAGAGAGTGGGGCCCTAAGCTATAGTTTGTTTAGCTTATACAGTGGTACTTCAGGTTAAGTACTTAATTCATTCTGGAGGTCTGCACTTAACCTGAAACTGTTCTTAACCTGAAGCACCACTTTAGATAATGGGGCCTCCCGCTGCTGCCGCGCCGCCGGAGCATGATTTCTGTTCTCATCCTGAAGCAAAGATCTTAACCTGGAGCGTCTGTAACCCGAGGTACCACTGTACAGTCATACGTCATGTTACGTTTGCTTCAGGTTGCGTGTTTTCAGGTTGCGTCCCGCGGCAACCCGGAAGTAACGGAAAGGGTTACTTCTGGGTTTTGCTGCTCACGCATGTGCAGACGCGCAAAATGACGTCACATGCATGCACAGAAGCGGTGAATTGCAACCTGCGTGTGCGCAGACACGGGTTGTCTTCTTTTCAGATTGTGAAAGGCCTCCGGAATGGATCCTGTTCGCAACCAGAGGTACCACTGTACGTAAATCCAGCACTGGTCTCCAGCCACCCTTGCAAAAATGCATTGATTAGAGGAAAGGGAGCATGGATATGAATATATCAGAAATGAGACCTGCTTCCTATCTCTCCCACTGAGGGAATCTGATGGGATCTCTGCCCTCAGATAACAACTGAGGGGAGGGGAGGCCTGGTGGATCTGGTCTTCCACAGCAGAGGAAGCAAGAGGCTCATTCCATCAGTTTCACCAGAAACTGAGCTCCATCAGGGACATCCTATCCCCGAATTATGGTAGCTGGTCATTATGAGTACTACTCTTTCATATCCTCCAACATTTCTCCAATGAAAATAGGGACGTCCCATTCCATAATGATAATTTCCCTATGCAGGATTGCCTTCAAATGGCTTGGGGGTTGGATAACTCCATACCTTCCAACATTTATCCAGTGGAAAAACGGGACATCCTAAGGAAAAGTGGTACATTTCAGGATCAAATCAGAAACCGAGACGGCTTCTCTAAATCAGGGTCATCCCTGGAAAATAGGGATATTTGGAGGGTTGGTTCTTTCACAATCAGTGCCCAAATTTGTATTTTCCACACTCTCCCAGCAACTCTGGAGAGCCAGATACTAATGCTCTAACTAAATAAATAATTTGGATACAACCCTTTGCAAAATAAAAAAGTTGTGGCTTTTTTTTTTGCTTGTTTGTTTGTTTTTTAAATACTTAATTGGGTTTTAGTTGAACCTATTAAAGTTGAACCACTTTAAACTTCTTTTCAAGTGCGGCGAGGTTATTCAGCTATTTTACAGCACTTTCCCAGCCAGGCCAGTTCTGCAGCAAATTATAATTGCAGTAAACTGCTCCCAGTTGAAACACCTTCATGAATAATGCTTCGCTCTCAAGAAACCGCAAGTTTTTCTTGTATCTGTATCATTATTTTGCCATAATGCACCAATTAAGCCTGAAATTGCACCCTATTGAAAAGCACTCTGGTTCTCCTTAGATAAAAATCATTGCCAAAGCGCTTTTTTTTCCCCTCTCGCCAACACAGAGACGCCGAGATTGGAAAGATTTCTAACCTTTGTTCTGAAACTTTGTTCTGAACTTACGTCCTTTGTAATTCACACTTCTACAAAGTTTACAATGCAGTTTTCCAGCCAAGAGATGGGTTGATTGCCTGTGAAGAGGGTTTTATGTTAAACCACTCTGGGAATTGTAGCTCCAGGAGGGTAATAGGGGTCTCCTAAGCACTGTGGGTTAAATCACAGAGCCTAGGACTTGCCGATCAGAAGGTTGGTGGTTCGAATCCCCGCAACGGGGTGAGCTCCCATTGCTCGGTCCCTGCTCCTGCCAACCTAGCAGTTCGAAAGCACACCAAAGTGCAAGTAGATAAATAGGTACCGCTCTGGCGGGAAGGTAAACAGCGTTTCCGTGTGCTACTCTGGTTTGCCAGAAGCGGCTTAGTCATGCTGGCCACATGATCCTGAAGCTGTACTCCGGCTCCCTTGGCTAATAAAGCGAGATGAGCGCCGCAACCCCAGAGTCGGTCACGACTAGACCTAATGGTCAGGGGTCCCTTTACCTTTACCTTTACCACTCTCATTATTAAATGACAGCTCCCATAATTCTTTGGGTGAAGCAATTACTGTTGCATACCCTTCAACATTTCTCTGATGAAAATAGGAGTGTCCTATTGAAGAAGAGGAAGAGGAGGAGGAGGAGGAGGAGGAAGAAGAAGAACTAGTTTATTATTTGTATCCCACACATCTGTCTGGCCACTGTGGTCAGCCTTGAACATACATAAATACATTAAAAATATTAAACATTTATAAAGCTTCCCTATCCAGCTCTGCCTTCAGGTATCTTCTAAAGGTTGTGTAGTTACTGATCTTCTTGGCTTTGGGATCACATAACTCCATACCCTCCAACATTTCTCCAATGAAAATAAGGACGTTCTAGGAAGAAGTGGAACATTCTGGGATCAATTTAGAAACTGAGGAGGCTTCTGTAAATCCAGGACTGTCCCTGGAAATCAGAGGCACTTGGAGGGTCTGTATCAAAGCACTTTATGGTGTGAATGTGTCTTTTGATTCTGGATTTGATGGTCTGAAGTGAGGGGGAAGCACTTTAGGTCGCTTTAGCAATCCCCTCAGATACTGCATCAGGAAGTTTTTAATGTTTGACCTTCTATTATGTTTTTATATGTGCCGGAAGCCACCCAGAGTGACTGGGGAAACCCAGCCAAATGGGTGGGGTATAAATAATAAAATTATTATTATTAAAATTACTGCTGTAGGACTCCAATGTCCCAGCCAGCATGGCAAATGGCAAGCATGGTAAGCATGGCAACCGGGTTCGCTTTCCCGCTCCTCCACATGCAGCTGCTGGGTGACCTTGGGCCAGTCACACTTCTTTGAAGTCTCTCAGCCCCACTCACCTCACAGAGTGTTTGTTGTGGGGGAGGAAGGGAAAGGAGAATGTTAGCTGCTTTGAGACTCCTGAAGGGGAGTGAAAGGCGGGATATCAAATCCAAACTCTTCTTCTTCTTCTAAGGGTTTTAACCCTGCAAAATATGAAGGGCCATAGATTCCCCTATCAGTGTTCTTCAGAGAAACATGGGTCATGAGTATTTAGCCTGCACACATGGTGACACATGGTAGTGAAATGAAAACCAGCAACAAGTGGTTCTGATGCTTTAAGAGTTGAGTTTTATTGTAGACAGGGACTCGAACAGTTACAGAATACAAAGCCAGGAGGGGGAAATGTCACAGACGCACCCTGAAGCTCAGATGTCAGTAGCAGATTTGTAATGAAACGGTGGTTATTTAATTATCTCAAGCTGCGCAACTACTGTGGCAGGGATTCAAATGCTCCACCATGTTTTCCTTGGTTCTGCCTTTGGCTTATGATGGGATGTGAGGAAGCTGAGCAAGAGACCTCACTCAACTTGACCTGTCCATTCTTCTTGTCTCTGGAATGCCAGAATCCAACTTTGGCATATGGTCTGTGCCTTCTGAAGAAGCTAAAGTCCCAAGGTTCTGCCGAGGTGATGACCTTTAAGATGAGCTTCGTAGGTTAAGGAGGGATAAAAGCAGAGATGGTTCAAGAGAGAGAATTTGCCCTTTTGCCCAGAGAAGCAAAAAAAACAACAACAAAAAACAAAAAAACCCAGAACCACGTGACCCCATGTTGCCTTCGGATGTTAACAAACACTAGAGCCAACCCTGAGCAGTTGGGATGTTTGTTAACATTCCTTAGCTGCTGAGCACATGGGCTCATTTCAATCAAAACCGAATCAAGGGCTATCACACAATTTTGGAGGGTTCAGAGAGTTTGCAGCACTGCTTCATGGCCCGAAGGTGGCGAGCTTGCAGCACCCGAATGATCCAAAAGGAAACAGGAAAGAGGTGCGAAATGAATTTGGCCATCAGAGGTCTCAGAAATGGGAAACAGAAATTGGACCAATAGAAAAACCCAGAAAAGTGTTTTTTTGGGGGGGTGGGGGTGGGTTGGGGTTGGCAAATCCCTCCACCAAAGAAGAGGGAGATGTTAAACAGAAATCAGAGTTGCTGCTGGATTGGCCGTTACAAGGATCTCGCATTCCTGCTGGCCTGGAGAGTTGCAGCTGCTTCGTATTTTGCAACAGGAACTTCCTTGCCCACACGCTCAGCTTCTCACTTAATAGCAGCCTTTGTAGCAGCTGCGCGAGTACGGGTATGAGCACACAGAGCTGGAACCCCACTTCCTGGAGCCGTACCCATAGCCGCCCCATCCACCGTAACAGGGCTCGTAGCAGCTGCCGGTGGCGCACGGCGTGTTTCCTGCCACAGCGACTGGCTCGGGGCTGGCAGACATGACTGGTCCTGGAATTGTGATGTGGAAAGCCGGGGGCTGGATGACCACTTGTGACGGTGGGATTTGGGAGACGCAGGAGGTGTTGACACCACACAGAGAGTTGCAGCTGTAGTTGCAGAGGGCCATGTTGATGCAAGCGGAAGGTGGACCTGAAAGCACATGGGCACAGATAAAACGGTCAGGGCAAACCAGGACTTCTCTGACACCAGGACTCCACTTCATTTCCCAGCGTGAACTCCGTGTAATCACAAGAACAGAAGCAGAGGCCAATGGAGGACCATCTAGTCCAGCCCTTCAACAGTTCACAGATGAAAACACGGACACCAGGAAGCTTCTCCTGTGTTTGATCTCCTGAGCACATAGACATCATATACACATCTACATCAGTCTCCTTGAGCCAATTGCGACCTCTCAGCCCAACCTACCTCGCAGGATTGTTGTAAAGAAAAAAAATGGGTGAGGGAAGGGATTATGTACAACACCTTCAACAGATAAATGGAATGAAATAAAGTTTTAGCTCTAAGCTGCCTTGAGTCCCTGACAGGGGAAAAGGCATAATAATAATAATAATAATAATAATAATAATAGAAACTGTGAGAATGATCAGGAACATACCAGAGAGTAAACCTTGTTGAACTCAGTGAAACATTGTTCTGAGTAAAAACGTTTAGGATTCCAGTGTAAGACTGCACGGTTTTTACCTAGTTTCCTGGAAGTAAGCTCCATTGGCTAGAGCGGGACTTATTTCTGAGTAGACATGTAAAGGCTTGCAGGGTGAGTCTCAGTTTGAAATGAAGGAATAAACATGCTGTGCATTTCCTTAAAAAAAAATGCTGGCTGCTGAATTAAAGACTTTAAAGTGGGCTGGTTACATTTTCCTTCAAAATTATGGGAAGGGCTTCATTTGGTGCAGGTATTGGGGATCTGATTCCTCCACCACTTTTAATTGTTCTCCGAGACACGGAAGGGAGAAAACAGGTAAAACAAGGACATTCCGGTATCAAATCAGAAACCAGGATGGCTTCTGTAATTCTGGGACTGTCCCTGGAAAATTGGGACACTTGGACAGTATGGCATCCTGTTCTCACAGTGACCAGCCAGATCCTAGCTGTCAACGTTTCCCTTTTTTAAAGGGAATTTCCCTTATTCCTAATAGGATTCCTTGCAAGAAAAGGGAAAAGTTGACAGCTGTGAGCCAGATGTGTGTAAGAAACCCACAAGCAGAATCCAAGCACAAGAGCTCTCTCTCTCTCTCTCTCTCTCCCCTCCCGCGGTTTCCAGCAACTGGTATTCAGAAGCACATCACTGCCCCCAACTGTGGAAGCAGAGCATAGCCATTGTGGCTATTAGCCATTGATAGCCTTCTCCTCCATGAATTTGTCCAGTCCTCTTCTAAAGTCATCCAAGTTGGTGGCCATCACTTTCTTCCCTAATTTGAGCTCCATTAAAGCAATGCATTTCATAGTTCCATAAGCCTAGGCGTCACATTTTGGAAGACTTAAAACAGAACTGATGCCCACTACCCAAAAGCATCTGGGGGGCTGGAAGGGGGCAAAGGTGGCAAGTGGCAAATGGGTTGGGCCAATGAGAAGCCCTTCCAAGCCCTTATTTGGACAATGGTTGGTATGAAAGAATTCACTGATCAGATATGAAGTGGGTCTAGTTTGAAATCTAAGCAATCACATCACCACTTGTAAGAACATAAGAAAAGCCTTCATGGGTTCCTCTGATTAGAGCTCTTGAGCTTAAAAGGACTTTGTTCACTGAAGCTAAGAGATGGCGGCCCTATCCTCTAGATCAGGGATGTCCAACAGGTCAATCACGATCTACTGGTAGATCCCCATGAGATTTTGGTAGATCACAGTCAATCTCTGGCTCCCTTAGCGTCCCTAAAACTGATTCCTGCCCCGCCCCCCTCATCCTGCCCTCCATTGTATGATCTCTGGAAGGGAAGACGGAGTTTTCTCTGTGCTGCTGTTTAGATCCACAGCGATCTTTCTGTGAGTGACTTTACCCCTTTGTCCCTTGCCTTTAACCCCCTCAAAAACGGAACTTCTCTCCCCCCCAAAGCTTTTTTAAACCCCTAAAAAGGGGGGTAGATCACTGCCAGTTTTTAATCCTGACAGTAGATTGCAGTCTCTTGAGAGTTGACCACTCCTGCTCTAGGTTGAAGCCAGTATGTGATCCAGAAGTTATCCCTTGACACATTAACACCTGCATTGCCTCAACCTAGAAGACAGTTCCAGCATCTCTTAGCTTCAGTGAATGAAAAAACCCTTCTGAACAACCCATTCTCAAACCTCTATAACTTCCACCTTGGAGCACAGCACAGCATAATTTTTATCAGAGCAACTGGTGAAGGCAGAATTGCCATGACCTTTAAAAGGAGAAACACTTAACAGTAACGTCTGGTCCCCTCATTACAAAATGTAGCCCCGTGTTACATCTCAACAGAAACAGAACCACAAGTCAAACGCAACGTACCTGAACGGTGAAGGAACAGAACACAATCAAGAGCGATCAGGAACTGAGAAGGTTGATGGAAGCTCAAAGTTCTTCTTGCTTTTATATGGTTTCTGAAACAGCCCTGAGGGCATCGGAGAGAGCCTTCCCTCATATGAACCACTAATTATTTAACCAAGGCCAGCAACAAAAAATGCGGTTTCTGCATCACATTTTTATTGCCATAGTTTTAACGTGAGGTCTGCTGTCATTAGGACGAATTATGGTCCTCCTCCCCATCAGCAAGTCTTCCCCACCCTGTTGGTTCCTGTGATTCTGAAGCTTTATTGGGCCAAATTATCCCAGCTGACACTCCCTCATCCCTTTGTAGTTGCACCAAGACCATGCAATCCAAACACCCTCTTTCATTGGGAAGGCCCATATCTCAGCGCGAGAGTCCATGCTTTCCATGCAAAAGGTTGCATGTTCAGTTCCTGCTGGGACCTCAAAGTATCTGAAGTCCTGGAGAGCCATTGCCAGATAGTGTTGACAATATTGAGCTCGATGGACAAATTGAGCTTGATGGCAGCTTCCTAGTCTTCTAAAAGTTTTATAAAGAAGAGCTGTCGCTCAGTGATAGAGACATAGCTGTCAACTTTTCCCTTTTCTTGCGAGGAATCCTATTTGGAATAAGGGAATTTCCCTTTAAAAAAAGGAACAGTTGGCAGCTATGGATAGAGTCCCTGCTTCCCATGCAGCAGACGCCATGTTGAATCCCTGGCACCTCCAGGTAAGGCTGAGATAGACCTCCATCTGAAACCTTGAGGAGCCACCATCGATCAGTGCAGAAAATACTGAGTTAAATGGAAGTGTTACTCTTTAAATCAGCGCTTTATTCAGAACCACAAGGATTGGATTCTTAGAGTTGTGCCCATAGAATCATAGGATCATAGAGTTGGCCAATGCTAGTCCTACTCAATTGAAATGAATGGACCTAAGGTAGTCATGATCCCTGATTTATTTCTTTTTTATTAATAAATATTTATTTTTCTATATACATATTACATAAATGCCAAAAATACAGTTATACAAATAACACAGGTGACCAAATATCAAAAAAGTAATTAGTAAGAAAAGAAAACAATACATATCAAAGAAAAAGAAAGAGAAGATAGAAAAAGAAATAGAAAGATTAGAAAAAAGTCAGAAGAAAGGTAGAAAAAATTGACTTCCTTTGACCTCTATACAGTTTATATGATCTCTTATCTTTGGTTGTCGGTAATCATTTTAAACTTTATGGAGAGACAATTTGTTTACCAGTGGAATTTTTAATCTAGATTAAGCCAATCCTAATTTTGGGAACCGACTTTCTTCATATAGTTTGTAAAGACACCCCATTCTCTCCTGATTTTTTCGCTTGGTTGGTTTCTTACTATTTCTGTTAATTTCGCCAGTTTGAGGTATTCGCTTGATTTTAATAGCCATTCTTCTTTTGTAGGAATTGTGTTACTTTTCCAGTATTTTGCAATTTATTATCCTTGCAGCCGTTATTGCATACAGAAAAAAACTCTTTTGTTATTTTTGGGGATGTCAGGGTCAGGGGCCAACAGACATCCCATGAGCCCTCATTTCAATTGGTCTACTATGAGCAGGGTTTTGGTGATCGTTTCAACTGGAGATATTATGGATTGAACTTGAGCCTTTCAGCATGGACAGTGCATGCCCTCCCACTCATATCAGACCCTTCCCAGTTGTAAGATGCATATGGCTATATTTAAAGCACTGTGATGTGGTACCACTTTAAATAGCCATGGCTTCTCCCCAATAATTCTGGCAGCTGCCAAGAGTTATTAGGAGATCCTCTATTCCCCTCAATCGCTCTTCACAAGGAAATCCAGGAATTGCAGCTCTGTGCAGAGAAAAAGAGGCTCTCCTGTGAACTCTCAACACCCTTAGCAAACTACAGCTCCCAGAATGCTGTGGGACAGGGGAACCATGACAGTTTAAAGTGACACCATAGTGCTTTAAAGGCATGGTGTGAATGTGGCCTATGAGACTATGTAAGGCAGGCTTGGCAAACTCAGCCCTCCAGATGTTTTGGGACCACAACTCCCATCATCCCTAGCTATCAGGACCAGTGGTCAGGGATGATGGGGGTTGTAGTCCCAAAACATCTGGAGGGCCGAGTTTGCCTATGCCTGATGTAAGGAATTTCCAATAGGTTGAATAGACTTCCTCCATTCAGCTAAGCATCCACGGTCACTCCCAGAAATGTTCAAAAGCCAACGGGTGGTGCTTTTTTAATCCTCATCTCACCTCTGGTTATTCTTAGGTGAGTCAGCCTCTCTGTTCATAGACCCGGGGTGCTTATTTTCCCATCCATAAAATGGAGGTAATGAGTGACACACATTTCAAGGGAGCTTTTAGTTGGTGTTTTGGAGGATAATTAGTTTGTGCTTGGGCAGCGTTTAAGTCTCATTAAAACACCATAGCCTCCTACAGCTCTCAGAAGGAACTGCTGACCTGGGCTTCTGGACACAGCAGCCTTCATTAGCGGACTGGGGGGATAAGTCAATTTCAGTTTCTTTTGATTTCTCATTTTTCCAATCCTAAATTCAGTTCTCCACATTCTCACACCCATGTGCAATTTATATGTTTTGTTTTGTTTTATATTGAAAATTCACCAGCATTTCAGAGTGAATTTCTTCCAATACACTCATTGTTTTGTAAACATTTTTTGCCCAATTAGACACATGTTTGCAAAGCCATTTCCCCATAGAATAACACGTGCTTATATGTTGTTTTTGCTATTATTTGCATTTGTACGAAGACGTTAGCATTTTTGTACACAGTACCTAGATTGAAAACTGAAATGCAAAGTTCATAGCAGTGCAAATTTCAAAGGACGGCTGGGTCTCGCAATACATATTGTTTTGGGATGTGAATATTTGATAGATCCAGCTTTAAATGTGAATGGAATCAAATTTCTACCCAGTCCCTAACTCTTAGCAGGACTAGCACTGGATAACACACATAGAATTGGTCCACACTAAAAACATCAAACTGTGGCCATTCTAGTTCTTAAGCCTGTTTAAATGTGATTTTGTTTTAAATGCAGTGTAAGGTAGTCTCTGTGGGAGTATATTGTATTTAATTATGGGATTCCAGAGTTTTTAGGGGGTTAACCAGGCTGGGATAGCAGGCTCGTTGGTTTTTGAATGTCTGATGTAGTTTTGTTCAATTTCGTTGTTCTATATGGGGCAATGACAGTAAAGATTATCGTATCGTATCGTAAAAATGATAGAACATTTACTGGACTCATATGAATCCATCTTTCTTTCTGCTATTTTGGGAAAGCTTGGGAAAATGTGAATTGGATAAGCCAGTCTTTCAATGTGAACTAACTCAAATCTCACTCCCATCCCTAGAAATTGAAAGAGGAAACAGATTCAATTCCCACATCAAAAGATATCCTTCAAAGCTCAAGCATATGGAATATGAGTTAGCCAGTTTATTTCTAGTCTATGCCCAGATCCGTATAGTAAAGGTCCGTATAGTAAAAGCTATTGTTTTCCCAGTAGTGATGTATGGAAGTGAGAGCTGGACCATAAAGAAGGCTGATGGCCGAAGAATGGATGCTTTTGAATTCTGGTGCTGGAGGAGACTCTTGAGAGTCCCATGGACTGCAAGAAGATCAAACCTCTCCATTCTGAAGGAAATCAGCCCTGAGTGCTCACTGGAAGGACAGATCCTGAAGCTGAGGCTCCAATACTTTGGCCACCTCAGGAGAAGAGAATACTCCCTGGGAAAGACCCTGATGTTGGGAAAGATGGAGGGCACAAGGAGAAGGGGACGACGGAGGACAAGATGGTGGGACAGTGTTCTCGAAGCTACCAGCATGAGTTTGACCAAACTGCGGGAGGCAGTGGAAGACAGGAGGGCCTGGCGTGCTCTGGTCCATGGGGTCACGAAGAGGCGGACACGACTAAACGACTAAACAACAACAACATGCCCATATCACACATGTTCATTAAGATTGTAAGCCAAGCCTGCTGGATCAGGGCAATGGCCCATCTAGTCTCACTTCCTGTCCTTACAATGGCCAACCAGATGCCAGTGGGAAACTGGCAAGCAAGACTGAGCACAAGAGCCTTCTCACTTCCTGTATCTTCCAACAACTGGTATTCATAAGCATTGCTGCCTCTAACAGTGGCAGCGTAGGATAGCCAATGGAATTAGCAGCCATTGATAACCTAGTCCGCCACGAATTTGTGCAATCCTCTTTTAAAGGAGCCAATCACTGCCTACTGTGGGAGTAACTTCCATGGTTTAACTACCTTTTCTCTTTTTTTATCCATGTCATTCATTTCCTTCATTCATAAATCCATTTTGTCCCATTTCTGCACCATTATGTGATTTTTAAAAAAATAAAAAGCTGTGATTGAAAGAGATTTTTTCCCCCCAAAATACATTTTTAAGAACACTGTACTTCAGATTTTTTGGTATGTATTTTATCCTAAAATGTACGCACATGTTTTAAACTAAACTATCCATTTGATATTTGCATTTTGGGTACATTTTAGGTGAGAATTTCACTATAAAATCCAGAGAATTGCAAAAACTGAAGGCAGCTTCATATTTTTCTAGCCATACTCACTGAAACGCTTCCTGGCTTCCTAACATGCAAGTTATGCTGCCCAGATGACCCAAGAGGAACTCAACCAATGGGTTGAGTTAGGATGCCAGTGACATCAGCAGAAAGGTACCACGGAATACCACTGTTTTGCTTGAGAAATGCTGGAGTTGCAAGGGGGAAATATAAATGATTATCCCAAGATGCATTAATAACATGAAGTGTTCTTTAATCATCAAAAACAGTTGTAACCAATAGGAATGGACAAAAAGATATTGCATACAACTTGAGGAGCTAATTGGGCATCAGCTAATTAGGACTCTCTATTGCGTTCTAAGGGGTGGTTCCTGGGCAAAAAGAGGTCATCAGCTGGTATAAAAGCTCTTGCCATTCAACCTTCTTCCAACAACTTCTGTTGACTTCTCCTTCTCAAGGAAGTAGGTAAGTTGAATTCTACTCACCTTTTCCATACCAGTTGTGGGCAAGCTTTGGGTCTGAATGTAGGAACCTGCTTATGCCAAGTCAGTCCATTGGTCATTCTGTTGTTGTTGTTGAGGGGTGAAGTCAAACCGCTGTGTTAGTAGCACCAAAGAGAGCCAGTGTGGTGTAGTGATTAAGAGCAGTGGACTCGTAATCTGGTGAACTGGGTTTGATTCCCCGCTCCTCCACATACAGCTGCTGGGTGACCTTGGGCTAGTCACACTTCTTTGAGGTCTCTCAGCCCCACTCACCTCACAGAGTGTTTGTTGTGGGAGAGGAAGGGAAAGGACGATGTTAGCAGCTTTGAGACTCCTTAGGGTAGTGATAAAGCGGGATATCAAATCAAACTCTTCTTCTTCAAAGTGACCTCTCTGGGGCACAAGCCTGGTATGGAGGTCCTGGGCTGCCCAGATGACAAGACCCTCATCTCAGCCTTGCTGATATGATCTGTGCAGTGTAGAAAATATGGAACTAGATGAATCAAGAATGTTACTCGGTATAAGGGCAGTTTCCTATCTTCCTGTACTTCTACAATGCATCTAAAGGAAGCAGAATTCCTTACACTGTTGGATGCAATGCAGAGCAACAAGGAGTGTGGAGACAGACGAAAATTGGGGGCAGGTGGACAATGGCTAGATGGGATTGCTAAAGCACATGGTTTAAGGAAACAAGTCATATCTTTGAGTCTCTTTAGCATATTTTCCTACTCATTCATATTCTGGGTAAACCATGCTATTAACTCCCTAACTCTTCATTCCAGATCCTCCGGAGTTCCAGCCAAGATGACTTACTCCTGCAGTGTTGCCTGTAGGCCATGGAGACACCAGTCTTGCTATGAGCCATGCGGTTATGGCTATGGTTACGGCGGCTGGTGCAGTTCCCGGTATTGCAGCCCCAGATGTTATGAGCCATGTGGGTATGGCTATGGAGGCTATGGTTGCTACGGCGGCTACGGCGACTGGTGTGGCTCAAGGTGGGGCTACCCCTATTCCCGCTGGGGGTGTGGTTGGTGAACACAACAATGTCATCTGGATCACCTGCAGGAAAAGGAATCGCCGGACCTTCAACTGAGCTTGCCTAGTGATAGTCTTGCAAGAAGCTGAGCGCCCATAATGCTAACCAAAGTCAAAAGCAGCTGTGGCTTCTCAGCACCTCTAAAGCTTTCCATTAGTTGCATCTTATGTGTATAATTCCGTCATGCTTAAGCAAACTCACTCTTTCTGTGATTTCTTCTACATCTTTTCAAATTAACAATATATCTTCACCTGTGTGAACTGCAGAACTATCCTAAATAATAATAAAGCTATTGCATTTTGAGAATTGACCTCTGGTTGTCCTTTTTTGCCATCTGATCCTGGTCACACTTGATGACAGAAGTCCATGCATCAATGATGATGGAAACACTTGTCATCTTATTTCATAAACAGTAACAAGGGACTCCTTTGTACATCTAAAAAGTATCAAAAGAGTTTTAGCCAGCTGACTCCTACTCAACACAGACCCATTGAAAATAATACACCTAAGTTAGCCATGTCTATTGAATAAGTCTACTCTGAGTAGAAGTAGCGTTCCTAGGACCTTGTCCATGTGACTCCACTAAGGGAGGTGAGGAGGTTGGTGACACAAGTGCAGGCCTCACAAGTACAGGTTGTTATTTTGAACCATCTGATCCTTGTTACAGTTGATGACAGAATCCCATGTATCAATGAGCTCCAATAGGTAATGGGGCTGAGTTTCAATATCTTCCCACTCCATTCCCTTTCTTGATCATCTCATCCACCCAATCAATTTACACCCAAGCCTGAGCCACTGATGCTTCTTAGCTCCTTGGTAGAATCAAATCAAATCAAATATCAGAGTTGGAAGTGACACTGTGGATCATCTAATCCAGGGCCGTCCAACAGGTCGATCGCGATATACCAATTGATCACGGGAAACTCCCCCCCCCACACAAATAAGTGTCACAAAAATAGCTCAACAACTTGAGTAGATCACCGGCAGCTTTTTTATAGTGGTTGTAGATCTCAGTCTCTTGGAAGTTGGACAGCCCTGATCTAATCCAACCCCTGCAATGCAGGGATATTCATGGGGACTGAACCTGCAACCTTGGCATTATCAGCACCATACTCTAACCAACTGAGTTATCCAGCTGAGCGATAGTATTTTTTCTAAACTGCATTATCTAGCACATTTGAGCATAGTGGCTCTGTTGAAAGTTCCAGTTGGTGTAAAATTCAGCTGCGCCGGCCTACCCCTGCCCAGGAGAGCATCTGGGGCTTTTCAGTTTAAAGAAAAGGCAAGTAAGAGGTGGGCTGATAGACGTTTGTCAAATTATGCACTTTCTCGTGGAGAAAATGGATAGACAAAAGGTGTTTTTTCCCCTCTCTCATAATGCTAGAACGCATGGACAATGAAATGGAATGGCATGTTGGAAGATTCCAGGCAGATAAAAGAAAGGACTTATTCGCACAGTGCATAGTAAAACTATGGAACTCACTGCAACAGGAGGGACAGATGGTCAACAATCTAGATGGCTTTGTTTTGTTTTTTCCCCCAACAGAATAAAACTTTATTTAGAATTCGACAATAACAAAGAAAGAAAAAACCACAGTAGTTGCTACATCATTACAATGATCCAGTGTTAACATTTTATAAATACTAATAAAGAAATTACATAGCATCACTTTTAACTTACTGAGGTTTTCATAATACACTTTTATCTCTTTATCTTTTTCTTAACATATCAAAAAGAGAAAGACCAAGAAAGGAAACACAAAAGGGAAGAGAGAAAAAGAGGGGGGAAGGGGGGGTGGTAAAAGGAAGGGGAAAGAAGAAAAGAGGAGGAAGAAAACAAAGCAAAACAAACATATTTGACTCATTGTATTATTATTTCTACAGATGGCTTTGAAAGGGCACTGGACAAATTCACAGAGAAGACTATCAATGGCTACTAGCCAAGATGGCTATGCTTTGCCTCCATGGTCAGAGATAGTAATGTTTCTGGACACCACAAGAGGAAGTACTGTTATTGTGTTCAAATCTTGCTTGTGGGTTTCCTGCAGTCATCTGGTTGGCCATTGTGAGAGCAGGATCCTGGACTAGATAGTCCCCTGGCTTGATCCAGCTGGATCAGCTTCTGTCCTTATGGTAGATCCTTTGTCTGTTGACCACAATACAGTAGTAACTCTGGTTGCGAATGGGATCCATTCCAAAGCCCCGTTCGCAACCTGAAAGGAACACAACCCGCATCTGCGCATCTGCGCACGTGCAGGTTGTGATTTGCTGTTTCTGCGCATGCGCATGACATCATTTACACGTCTGCGCATGCATGAGTGGCAAAACCTGGAAGTAACTCTTTCCGGTACTTCCAGGTTGCTGTGGGACACAACCTGAAAAAACGTAACATGAAGCAAACGTAACAAGAGGTATGACTGTACTTGCTGACGTCCACATGTCAGCTTGAACTCAGAATGGCATACACACACACACACACACACACACACACACACTGCCCTATACTGCCCTATACCGAGAGGTCTCAGGATGGTTCACAGAACAAAATCAAAATATAAAACAACGAATATATAATCAAAATAAAAGCAACAATCCTATAACCCCCTCAGAGTTCAGCAGAAGCAGAGTCGTGAAGGAATCGTAGCATCAAGTCCTTTAGTATAACAAACAAATAAAATAAACCAAACAGTCTGTGTGAGCTTTGCCTCACACATCCTCTCTCTCTAGCCTTTTCAGCTGGAAGAGAACAAAGTTGCTGGGTGAACTTCCGCTTACATATAATAGTGATAAGGAATGAAATCACCGGGTCTTGTGACCCTGTGCCATTGTTGCACTGGAAATACTGACACACCCCAAAGCTACATTTTAAAAGGGCATAGGATGTCAACCCCGATTGGTGAAATATGCTCAAACCGTTTTGCTCTGGTGAGCAACCTGGCCGCTGAATTCTGCACCAGCTGAAGTTTCCAAACTGTCTTCAGAGGCAGCCCTACGTAGAACGCATTGCAGTAATCTAACCCTGAGGTTACCAGAGCATAGACAACAGTAGTTAGGCTATCCCTGTTCAGATAGGGGCGTAGCTGGGCCACCAGACAAAGCAGATGGAAGGCACTCTGGACCACAATGAGGGCAGTTCACAAAACAAGATCAACATATAAAACCACAATATATATAATCAAAATAAAAACAACAACCTAATAGCACTACCCCCCCCCCCAAAAAAAACACCCCCACATTCTAAAAGGGCATGGGATGTCAATCAAATAAACAAAAGGCCTGGTTAAAAAGGAAGGTTTTTGCCTAGCGCCTAAAGGTGTATAATGAAGGCACCAGCTGAACTTCCCTCGGGAGCGCATTCCGCTGATGGGGAGCCACTGTAGAGAAGGCCCGTCTCATGTTGCCACCCTCCGGACCTCTAAAGGAGGAGCAACATGAAGGAGGGCCTCAGAAGATGATCTCAGGGTCCAGGTAGGTTCATAGGGAAACGGGCAGTCCTTGAGGTATTGTGGTCCTACAAAAATCAGCAAAGGGGTTCAGGAGGCTAGATAGACCTGCAGAAGTGGTGAATATTTTTTGCCAGTGATAGTGCTGTGTGTGGCGCTGTGGAGAGCGTTCCATAAAGAGGGAGCCACCACTGAGGAGGCAGGTATTTGTGTCACTAACCTCCTCACCTCCCTTAGTGGAGTCACGTGGACAAGGTCCTAGGAACGCTACTTTTACTCAGAGTAGACTTATTCAGTAGACATGGTTAACTTAGGTGCATTCTTTTCAATGGGTCTGTGTTGAGTAGGAGTCAGCTGGCAAAAACTCTTTTGATACTTTTTAGATGTACAAAGGAGTCCCTTGTTACTGTTTATGAAATAAGATGACAAGTGTTTCCACCATCATTGATGCATGGACTTCTGTTATCAAGTGTGACCGGGGTCAGATGGCAAAAAAGGACAACCAGAGGTCAATTCTCAAAATGCAATAGCTTTATTATTAATGAGGATAGGTCTGCAGTTCACACAGGTGAAGATATAATGCCGATTTGCAAAGATATAGATGAAATCACAGAAAAAGTTTGCTTAAGCATGACGGAATTATACACATAAGATGCAACTAATGGAAAGCTTTAGAGGTGCTGAGAAGCCGCAGCTACTTTTGACTTTGGTTGGCATTATGGGCACTCAATTTCTCTCAAGACTATCACTAGGCAAGCTCAGTTGAAGGTCCGGCGATTCCTTTTCCTGCAGGTGATCCAGATGACATTGTTGTGTTCACCAACCACACCCCCAGCGGGAGTAGGGGTAGCCCCACCTTGAGCCACACCAGTCGCCATAGCCGCCGTAGCAACCATAGCCGCCATAGCCACCATAGCCATACCCACATGGCTCATAACATCTGGGGCTGCAATACCGGGAACCGCACCAGTCGCCGTAACCATAACCGTAACCACATGGCTCATAGCAAGACTGGTGTCTCCATGGCCTACAGGCAACACTGCAGGAGTAAGTCATCTTGGCTGGAACTCCGGAGGATCTGGAATGAAGAGTTAGGGAGTTAATAGCATGGTTTACCCAGAATATGAATGAGTAGGAAAATACGCTAAAGAGAATCAAAGATATGACTTGTTTCCTTAAACCATGTGCTTTAGCAATCCCATCTTGCCGTTGTCCCTGCCCCAAATTTTCTTCTGTCTCCACACTCCTTGTTGCTCTGCATTGCATCCAATGGTGTGATCAGGAATGCAAGAAGTTCCAGTAAACAAGTCTGCTTCCCCCAGATGTGGAAGAGGAGGACAGGAATATAGGAAACTTCCTGTATACTGAATAAGAACCAGCTCCACATTTTCCAGGCTTACTGGCTGCCACTGTGCAGTGTTTCAGACCAGATTCTGCCACAACCCTATGAAGAGTTGCGAGAGATTGAAACTGGAACCTTGTGCCTGCAAAGCAGATGTTCTTTGCCTGAACTTCAGCCTTTTCACTAAACATGGAATCAGATTCTAGTCCTAAGGATTCTGAAGAATGGGCTGATTTAAATCAGAACAGAGAAAACTGCCTCTCCCCAAGTCAGACCATTGGTCAATGTAGTTCAATACTGTCTACACTGACAGGCAAGAGCTCCCCGGGACAAGACCCCTATCTCAAATCTTACAGAATCACTGCCAGAAATTGTAAAGAACATTTGCCAAGATGGTTCGACTGTCTGATTTAGCATAGGCAGCTTTCTAAGTTCAAGCCTGAAGCCTGCCCACAGCTAGTCCAGGGAAGGTGAGTAGAATTTAACTTACCTGCTTCCTTGAGAAGAAAGAGAAGTCAACAGAAGTTTTTGGAAGAAGGCTGACTGGCAATGGCTTTTATACCAACTGATGGCCTCTTTGTGCCCAGGAACAACACCTTGGAATGCAATAGACTGTCCTAATTATCCGATGGCTAATTAGCTCCTCAGGTTTTATGCAATATCTTTCCATCAATTCCTAATTGTTACAGCTGTTCTTCATGATTAAAAAACACTCCGTGTTATTAATGCAGCATCTTGGGATATCATTAATAGTTCCTTTGCTGCTCAAGCATTTCTGGGAACTGTTGTATTTCATGGGACCTTTCTACCGGCGTCAATGGTTTCCTAACATAACCCATTTGTTGAGTTCCTCTTGGGTCATCTCAGTAGCATGACTTAAATGTCAGGAAGCCAGGAAACACCGGAAGGACAGATCCTGAAGCTGAGGCTCCAAGACTTTGGCCACATGATGAGAAGAGAAGACTCCGTGGAGAAGACCCTGATGCTGGGAAAGATTGAGGGCACAAGGAGAAGGGGATGACAGAGGATGAGATGGTTGGACAGTGTTCTCGAAGCTACGAACATGAGTTTGACCAAACTGTGGGAGGCAGTGGAAGACAGGAGTGCCTGGCGTGCTCTGGTCCAGGGGGTCACAAAGAGGTGGACATGACTAAATGACTCAACAACAACAATGTGTATAGGAGCATGTGAAGCTGCTTGATAATGAGTCAAAGCAATGGTCCATCTAGCTCAGGATTATCTACAGCAGGAGTGGGGTGTCAAAGACTGACTGGATGAAGAGGAGCAGTGGGAGGTACCAGCCGGGGAACCCCCAAGCGAAACCCTGAGATGAGGAAGGCTCAGAGT